GTGTGTGCACAAAGGGCCATATGAAAGCCAACTCACAAATTCTCAGAACCACTGAAGGGTAGAAAGAGAAGAAAGGGACATATTGCCCAATACCTTTATTAAACAAATGGGGAAACCAAGGTCTACCTTTACTTATAGTGTGGTTGTAGCACGGCACAGAGCAGCATTTCTCAACCCTGGCTGCACTATCAGTACTACCTAGGGAACTTTTAAAACATCCTCAGAGCTGAGGCTCACTCCAAAACAAAGAAAGAAGCATTTCTGGGGATGAGGCCAAGACACTCTATTTCTTAAAAGGCAGCCAGCTGTAGATTCAAGTTCCACCACTTAGAAGCCATATTACTCAGGCAGGCTCCATCTCAGCTCTGAGTTTCCCCACTGATGGAACAGAGAACCCCCTGTTCTGTAGGGTTGTCAGAAAGTTGAAAGAAGGTTCTTAGCACAAAGCAATCTTGCATTAACTAATGACTGTGCCCTTCCTCCTGGCCTCAGCAGGGGCAAGAGATGGGCTTCACTGAATGCTTTCCCCACTAATATTGAATGCAATTGGTATTCCTTGGGCTCACACTTGGGAAGGGTGCCTTGAACCACCTATGTGGCTGGACCACATCCTAACTCAAGTTACTGCAGCTCTTCAGCTATGCCTCTCCTACCAGAAGCAATGACCTTGGTCTAGAAGCAATGATATTCCAGTAGCCATGAACGCACACAGCACCCAGATCTTGGTTTCTAATAACATTCCCCAGTAAAAGGAAACAGAGCTTTAGGACCTCAGCAGAAAATAAACAAGATGAGGCTGGAGCACCTTGTGTTGCCAGAAAGTAAGGGAGTGCTCTGACAAACAAACAAACAAACAAGCAACACGCACACACAACACATACACACACAAAGATGGGAGGATACCAAAGATACAGGAGCCAAATAAAAAAACTCTCAGTGGCCAAAGCTGGAACAATTTGAGCAACAAAATAATTAAAATAGTACTGGATTATAACCCAAAATATAAAATAAGTATCCATGATTCCATATTAATATAATTAAATGACTGAATAAATAAATAGATGGGGGGAGGGTAAAATCTCTCTGAGCAGAAGAATTCCAAATAACTTATTAGATACTTAATCAAGAAGGAAGAACATCACTTCCCATTCCTTAAGGACAGGATGAGCATGGTGGCCTCCTTCCAAAAAGTATAGTATGGAAAGGGGAGGGAAAGAGTAATTTTACAGTAGAGAATCCCTATAAACACTACCTTCACAGGGGTTCAAGTTCAACAGCACCAGAGGCTAGCATGTGACAGTATGGACACTTGGTATGACATGAGAAGGGCATTTTACCTCTGTGGTCTTCCTTCCAAAACCTGTAACCCCAGTCTAACCATCAGACAAATCCCAGTGGAGGCACATTCCACTAAAAACTTGACCAGTAATCCTCAAAACCATCAACGTCATAAAAAACAAAGGAGAAAATGCCACAGCCAGGAGAAGCCTAAGGAGACACGATGATGACTAAATGTAATGTCTGGATGGGATTGGAAACAGGAAAACAAAATTTGGTAAAAGCTAAGGAAATCTGAATAAAATATGGGTCTTATTTCACAATGATATATCAAGATTGGTTCATTAACTGTGGCAAACAAAATCAACCACACTAATGTGAAACAATAGGAGAAAGAGTGTGGGGTATGGAGGAACTCTCTGGACTATCTTTGCAACTTTTCTGTAAATCTCAAACTATTTTAAAATACAAAAACCAGTTGGAGTGTGGCATAAATAAAGGAGGCTTTTGATTGCCTTGTTTCTGGACACATACAAATAAAAAAATGGGCCAAAATGTTCCCAACACCTTATCAGAGAAGCAAGCTGCAGGGAGAGGAGGTGGGTAGAGGTATGTGGGTGGGATATAGTTTGTCAAGGTCATACAAACATTTGGGACAAAGAGGATGGATCCTCAGCTCCTGACTGCTGGGCCCAGACATAATCAAGTGCTGCTTCTCATTAGTGCCAGGAGGGATGGGCCCAGAAGGTCTCTTGAAGACCCTTTGAGCTCCCACAGTTTGGGGGCCACTCATGTGTCTGTATCTTTTAAAAAACAATGACATCACTGTGCTGGTAGCATTTCAGAGAGTTCTGCGGAGTGCTATTGTGTAGCAAAGGGCCTTGCCAGCATCCCTGAAGAATGTATCACACAGACTCTGCTCCTACTAGCTGTGTGACCTTAGGCAAGGGAGTTGACTTCTCTGTGCCTCCATTTCCTCATCTGGGGGCGACACTAATAACATCTACCTGAAAGAAATCATTGTGAGGGTCAAATGAGATCATGCATACAGCAACCTTGGTAAAAGCTGGCCAATCTTTGTACCAGGACATGACTTCAGGGTTTTGTTTCTGCTTAGAAATACAAAGTGCATGGGGGAAGAGTGGGGAGTAAGGATAGAGGGCAGAGAATGCAATGGAAGGCTCATCCCCTCCATTCCGTCATCATCAGGGCTGACCCAGTCCCTATAGCCTCAGAAGAGGATGGAGAATGGGCAGGGAATGAGTCAGCTGAGGTCTCAACTGTCTTCTATACAGGCTCTGGGCTGTAGAAGAGTTCTTAGGGCCTCGGCTGCCTGGGAACTCCCCACCACCCACCTGGGGTGAAGGAGTGTCTGGACCCACCTGCCCTGCCATCCTTCACTCATTTATTTCAGCTAACAAGCTGGGCTAGGCCCACTCTGCACCCAGGCCTGAGTCAGACATGGAGTCATAAGGTAGATAAATGCAACATGGCCCTGCTCCCCAGGGACCTAGGTCAGCTTCAATCTCTCCAGCCCTGCTTCCTTCCATCCCCGAGTGCCCCAGCTAGGCTCATGCCCACTTCTGGGCCTCTGCTCTTCCATCATGCACCCATTCTCCAACAAACCTTCTCACCTCCCCCTGCCCATCCATCCTGCATGACCCAGCTCAGTGTTTGCCTTCTCTAGAAGTGTGCTCAGATCACCCCATCTGGATGTGCTCTCTCCTTCCTCTGGGTAGCTCACTGCCCTGACTTTCACAGAGCACTTAGATAACTCCTCCGCATGCCTTTAGGGTTCATATCTGTGCATACAGCCCCCACTAGACCCTCTGATGGTTTCTTACTTATATGTATTGTATATGTACTGTATATGTATTCCTTATATCCAAAACCATCCAGTATTGGTTTGACCTTAGAAAATTATGTCTCTTTCTCTCCTGCTACTCATTTATAGTCTTTGGCTCACTAGGCCGGGGTTCAGACCTCAGCTCTATAGCTCTGGGCAAGTTACCTCACTCCAGGGCTAGGTACAGGTGCACACACATCCCCCAGGGCCCTGTGTCTTTAGCAGACTCCAGCCCTACATTCCATAGCCAGCTCTGCATCTTTCCACCCAAGGACTGTTACTGGCAAGAGCCAGATCTCACGCTCAAGGCAGAGAGAAGGGGCCAGAAAATGAATCCAGAGACCCTACAAGCTTTGATAGTCAAGAGTTGATGAATAGTAACCAGCTCCTTTACCTCCATGGAGGATAGTCCTGAGCTGAGACATATGTGTGTGTGTGTGTGTGAGGGAGAGAGAGAAAAGAGAGGGAGATACTTTGACTCCCAGCACTCGCCAGAAGGAGTCACCTCAGTTGCCCGCCGGGGAAACTTGCATGATAAAGTCTATTTTATTGGCTGACTTGGTTTTCCTACTGGTGCTTCCTAGGATCACCTTCCAAATAAGCCATGTGCACTCAAGTCCTTGTTTCTGGATCTGCTTCTGAGGAAACCCAAACTAAAGCACTCCTCTTGGCCTCAGTTTCATTATCTCTAAAATGGTCTAAAACAGCTGAGTCCACCTTGAAGGACCTCAGCAAGATGGCATCTATAACATATAAGGCCTGGCATTAATAAGCATCCTTCAAATAGAGACACTAATGTTATTTAAAATTTTTATTAAGGCCGGGCATGGTGGCTCACACCTAGAATCCTAGCACTCTGGGAGGCTGAGGTGGGTGGATTGCCTGAGCAAGAGCAAGACCCCATCTCTAAAAATAGCTGGGCGTTGTGCCTGTAGTCTCAGCTACTCAGGAGGTTGAGGCAAGAGAATCACTTGAGCCCAGGAGTTTGAGATTGCTGTGAGCTATGATGCCACGGCATTCTACTGAAGGGGACAAAGTGAGACTCTGTCTCAAAAAAAAAAAAAAAAATTTATGCTTTTTTCAAACTTTTTGAAAAGAGGACCGAATCTCTTGTCAAAGTGGTCATGACTTATGTCCTGCCCAGTGTGCCCTAGAGGCTCACCTGCCTTCCCCTGGACTCCCCTCACTGTCTGGTCCATCCCTACATATACACTCTGCTCCTCATGACCAAAAACAAAACAGAAAATGGCCATCCCTCAGCCATCAAAAACTTGCACCTTGGCCTCTGACTCATATTTTAACCATGTATCACCTGTCTGTTTATCCATCCATTCATCCATCTATCATCTATCTACCATCTCTCTATCTTCCCATATAATAGCAACTCAGCCGTGGAGGGGGGATGTTCACAACCCCCTTTCTTAGTGACAAAAGTGAGGCTTAGAAAGTTCAAGCCACTTGCCCAATTCACAGAGCCTTGCTCTGAAACATCTTTGGACCCCACCACACAGTAAAATGGAGGTTAAAACCAGTTTTACTCTGCTTCTGATACTCTCTAGTCCCTGGATGCCTGGCTGAGCTCTCAAAGTCACAGCAGGCCAGCATGGTCCTCCTGACTATCTCAGGCCTGCCTCTCAGGTGCCCAAATGCCCAGAGAGCCCATGCCAGCCACCTACTCTCTGCTCTCCCCAAAGCAAAAGCCAGGCCTCCCTGCCAGCCTCCCACTTCTGAGTTCTGGAAAACACTGGGCTCAAAAACCTGACCAACCTCTGTAAGAAATTCATCAGGAAGCTATATGGGTGGCAGCTGTTCCCATGTGGGAGCCCTCTCAGCTGTGTCAGCCCAGCAGGTATGAGGTGGAGGGATCCTGACTCACCCCGGCTGCTTCCCGGTGCAGGATCCTGGCCGCCTCTGCATAGCCCAGACCTAACTGCAGCCACACTGGGCATGTTTTGACAAGCTTCTCCAGGACGCTGATGCCCCGGCGGGGAAGGCAGTTCTTCATGGTGGTTGGCAGACCAAGCCCCATGCCATCTTCCTCCTCCTCTTCCTCTCCTTTGCCGACATCTGGAATAGAACTGAGAAATGGAATCAAATGATCACCCCATCTGCAGCCAACCCAAAGAGGACTTACAACAAATGGGGATTAGGGTGGCGCCTGTGGCTCAAAGGAGTAGAGTGCCAGCCCCATATGCCAGAGGTGGCGGGTTCAAACCCAGCACTGGCCAAAAACAAAAACAAAAACAAAAAATGGGGATTAGATTCAACCATGCTTCTTCAGTAAGCATCTATGTAGCCAGTGGCCCTTTGGGAAAATTAAAAAACAAGACCAAGACAAACCTTGGTCTTCACCTTCTTGTGCTTATAACACAGCAGATGAGACATGCAGCTAGAGTACAGGAAGGAATAAATACAACAGGCACACAGTATTACCTATCAAAGTAGCTAATGCCAAACCACAATGGGTTCAGGGAAACGCAGGTGGCATTTGAGCAGAGCGCTTAAGAGGATTTGTTGTAATTTTTAATTGAAGAGAAACTTCCACACAGTGTAATGCACAAATCCTTAAAATGCAGCTAGCCACATAGTTACAGATGTCCTGTGTAACTACTACTCAGGAGAAGGACTTGTACTGTCCAAAGCCTTAGCCTGTAGCCCTGAGCGGTTATTGAGCTCTCACAAGTGGCTTATCCAAACTGAGATGCACTGTAAGCATAAAACACACACAGGAGTTGTAGGATTTACTATGCAAAAAACTGTAAAATAGTTTATCAACATTTTATATTGAGCACATATTGAAATAATATTTTAGACACGTTGGAATACATAAAACATCATTAAATTTAACTTTACCTGTTTCTTTTTACCGTTTTAATGTGGCTACCATAAAATTTTAAATAGCCTTTGTGGCTTACAGTGTATTTCTGTTGGGCAGGGCTGATGCAGATCATTTCCAGAGGTTCCTTTTTGCCCCCTCCCAGTCAACATTTCCCACACCACAGGAGGAAGAGGAGTTAACACATCAGAGTGGCAAGGGGAGGAGAATCACTGACCCAAAAAACCACAAAACCAAACTAGAGGGCTCTCTGGTGAATGGGCACTGCCTACTACTCATAATTCTGTCCAGTGTGAGGTCCCAGACTTTCCCAAGACCCTCATGTTCCCCTGCCCTACCCCAGCACACACATGTTGGCAAGTTGGTTTTGATTCCAGAAAAGGAGGAAGGACATGTGGGTGCCTCAAATCCTGAGTCAGGTTGTGAGGTCTGCTTGCATTCTACCTGAGGAAGTGAGTCTCTCTTGGTGTATTCAAGGGTAAAAACCCTTAATTAGACAGAGAAGGGGACTTATAAAGCCAGGAAGATGTAGATGGTGCCTCTGATGCAGAGGTCAGTGTTGGTGTTGGTTACAGAAGCAGTTAGGGCATTTGCTGTAAAGAATTGGGGGGGAGGGGGATGAGCCCCATTAAAGGGCATGGAGAAGTGGAACTGCTGGGGGTGGGGTCAGAGAAGGAGGGTGGTAGGTCTCAGAGGTCCTGAGGCAGAAGCAGCATTTCCCAAAGGGGTTTACAAAAAACTGACGAGGAAAGTGTGTGTGAAGTCATTTGTTCCGTGGAATAAAATTCCTTCCTCTGTAGCTGGGTGTGGTGGCCTGTAGTCCCAGCTACTCAGGAGGCTGAGGCAGGAGGACCACTTGAGCCCAGGAATTTGAGGTTGCTGAGAGCTAGACTGAGGCCATAGAATTCTATGGCTCTGGGTAACAGAATGAGACTCTGTCTTTAAAAAACAAAAATTCCTTCCTCTGCCTCCCCCTTCCCAAATCCTCCAAGGAGTCCTGGCTTTTAGGAATGCTGGGTGTACTCACAGCTGCATGTGGGTTTCCCATAGTGGTCCATAGCCTGCAGCCCATTTAAAAGAAACCACCAGGTTACCAGGGAAACATGAGTTCTGGGAAATGGCAGGAATCATGGGTCTGGGGGAATGGTGGGGTAACGTGGCCCTGTGGCTGTCCACAGGCTGCATAACTGGGGCTGAATAGTCTTATTTAGAGCTCAAGGCCAGGGCCATCCCACTGATATTGCTGTAACCATTCCCAGGCCCTGAGTACAGTCCCAGCATCTCCTCTGGGAAGGAAGTTAAAATGACAGAGGCCTGAATGCCCAGAAAAGAAGCACTCTGGGGCCACAGATTCCTCAAACTCCACTTGGAAACACAAAAATATCTTCTGGCACAAAAAGACTTTATGATCATCCTTAATCTTCCTTGCTTGGCCTGGAGCCTCCCCCAGGGGCCAATTACGACTCGTAATAGCAGCTGGGAGTGAGACTAACAGGCTATCCGTCCCATTCCCACTCCGCTAGGAACCACAGCTCAGACCTCAGCCGAGCCCTTTCCCTCTCAGGGTCTCAGTTCCCTCATTTGTACAAAGTGGGCTGGACTGGAAGATTCCTCATCTCCATTTTCTCCAGCAGAACTAAAGCTGCCATCAAACATTGGCTCTGAGAGAAACAGAGGAGTGTGCCTGTCAGTCACGCTTACTGTGAGTAGTTTCTGCAGCCTGCAAGTGCCACATGCTGTTCCAGGCACAGGTTAGAGCAGTGAACAAAAGACAGGGGGAAAAGACGGACTCCTTCCCAACCTTCATGGTGTTTCCATTCTTGGGGAGGAGTCAGGTGATGAGCAAGGTGAATGGTGACTAGAGTAGGTTAGATGGGTCGCCTCCTAGAGGAAGAGAAAGGGGACCCAGGAGGGCTTGCTGCAGTTTGGAAACAAGTGGCCAGGAAACCCCTCTGTAAAGATAGCTGTGGAGTAAACACCCGGATGCAGGTGTCTGGAGAAAAGGTTTCCAGGGAGAAGGAAGAGAAAACGCCAAAGCCTAGAGTTCTTGCTTTTGGAGGGACAGTGGGGAATGGGGTGAGTGATAAGGGTGAGAGTAAGAGAGGGGGTGAGGTCAGAGTGGGACTGGGTGACGGTCCCAGGAGCATTCTGGAGCCACTGGGGGAGTTGGCTCTATATCCACTTATACAAGGCAGTTCCCCAGGGCTGAGGGAAGGGGCTGGGCTCCTGGCTAGCTGCTTGCCTGGACCACCCCTCAGGCTGCCTAGGCAAGAAGAAATGGGCCCATGAAGAAGTGGTAGGATCTGAGTGGCCTCTGGAACCAAGGAGAGACTGTGGGGGGCCACAGGAATAAACTCGCTTCTCCACCCAGCACAGCCATCAGCATCCTGAGGCATGAACTGCTGCTGTCAAGGTGACCAAGTGGAAACTCTGTGCCAGGCACCAGCATCATGCGACTGTGCCAACTCACTCTCTTGTGATCACATCCTTCCCTCTGCAACGTGCAATGGATCCCACTGCCACACAATTCAGTCCAGTCCCTTAATATTTACAGCATTCCCTTTCTGGGCCTCCTCCCCCACAGACACCCCTGAAGAAGAGCTGTACTCCATCACCCCAATGAAACCTGCCCTTGCTCAAGCTGCTCCATCCCCCCAGCACCACCTTCAAGGTCTCTATTTCTTCCTCCCCAGATTCTCCAACTAGTCGGCAAAAGTACTGGACCAACATAAAAGCAATTACCATAAAAGAGACAACAGGTGAATTAGACTATATCAAAATTTTAAAAGTCTGCCTATCAGGCTGGGGAAAAACACTTCCAAAACGCATATCTAAGAGAGAACAAGCAAACTGATTTTTTAAATGAGCAAAAGATTTTGAACAGACACTTCGAAGAAGACATAAAAATGGCCAACAAGGTGAAAAGTGCTCAAAATATTAGTCATTATGGAAATGCAAATTAAAACCACAATGTGACACCACGGCACAACACCTAGAATGGCTAAAATTAAAGACTAACAATATCACATGTTGGTGAATAAGAACTCTCATTTATTCTTGGTGAGTAAATAAACCAGTATGACTACTTTGGAAAAAAACATGGCATTTTTTAAATAATCCTAAACACACACCTCCCTATGACGAACCCATTCCACTCTCAGGTATATACCCACGAGAAATGAAAGTGTATATCCACAAAAAGACTTACACATGAAAGGTCACAGCAGCTTTACTCATGGTAGCTCACTAGTACCCAGTCCTGATGTCCATCATGGGGACAAAGGAGCAGTAGACCATGGTAGGGCCATGCAATGGAAGAACAGTAAGCAAGAAAAGGGAACTACTGATACGAGGCTGAGTCAAAGAAACCAGATGCAGAAAAGTACATACCATATGATTCCATTTGTACGAAGTTCAAATGGTGCACATAGGTGTGTATTTACTTTAATCGTATGTAATTTTTACACGACAGCAATAAAGAAGAACTGTAAATAAATACTGAACTCTAGTTAATGATATGCATGCTAACACTTTCTTTGAAGTGCATAAAAAATAAGGTGCATTCGTGGATGGATAAAACTATGTAATAAAGCAAACACAGAGAAATATTTAGCATCACTGGTGGATATATGGGTGTTTACTGCAAAATTCTTGCAACTCTTGTATATGTTTAAAATGTTTTAGAGCCACTTCAGATGAACCTTGCCTGCTATCCTATTAAATAGAAGCCCTAAGGTTAACTGTAAGCTGTGTGACCTCTGGCCAATTGCTTTATCTTTTGGGGTTTCAGTTTAATCACCTACAAAAAAAAAACTGTGCTTAAGAAGGTCACTGCCAAAATTTGATGACCTATCTGTCAGTGCCTGTGCATAGTTCAGTAAATGTTACTTATTGTTAATCTATCCCTCCAACCCTCTAGTTGGACTTCTCTTCCTCTTCCTGCTACATCTTTAATATTCTGTAGCCTCAATTTTAGGACTTGGCACATTTGATTGGAGTCACTGGGGCACACATCCGGGTGTTGCTCATCTTATGCCTAACATCTGGCCCCAGCGGTAACCCACAAGTTCATGGGCCTGGGAACCATGTGGCTTGACATGAACACAGGAAAAATTGCTAAGAAAACACAGTTCTCTTGGAAGAGAAACAAACCACTGGGAGGATCCCTTCCACAGCCTATGAAAAGACAAGAAAGACCTGGGATCTTCCCAGACTCCTTACAGTCATGAGCACCAAAGGGTT